AGTTCTAACAGGTCTTTTCCCTGACTATATCCTTTTCCAGGAATATCTCTACCAGAGTTAGTACATTCACTGAGTTTGAATTCCCTGTTTCTCCACTAGTGTGACTTCTGTTTAGATACCTCTGAGCTGTTCACACTGCCTGAGGAGCCCACTGAAAATCCTCTGCCTCACAGCTTTGCTTTTTTGCATGATGGCTTTGGGTATAACAACAGAAAGAAACAAAACTTCAATCAAATCACAAAAATATATTTACACACTGGGTTTCTTAAACCTATTTACAGTTTGATAAAATACAATATTTCTTTTACTTTCTAATCTAACCTGATAACATACAATGCTGTATCTGATAAAATTTGTGTCTAGTGGCATTTACATCACATGATTTTTCTTTGCTTAATTTGACGACATTACTGATTAAAATTACTTATAAGTCCCCATCACAAGTTAATATACACCAGAGGTGATATTCAGCAAGTTCTGACCAGTTCCAGAGAACCGGTAGCGGAAATTTTGAGTAGTTCGGAGAACCGGCAAATACCACCTCTGACTGGAGATTTTACAGTATCCTTCCCCTGCCACACCCACCAAGCCATACTCACAGAACCAGTAGTAAAAAAAAGAAAATGAATCCCACCACTGATATACACTCCCACTTTCTACATTGTGGAGTCCTTGTTGCTCTCTCAGCATATTTATTTGCTTGTATATGTTTCATTGCCTGACTAGGTAACACCACCTATGCTAGTGAGTGTGGCAGTGGTGGGATTCACATTTTTTACTACCAGTTCTGTGGGTGTGGCTTGGTGGGCATGGCAGGGGAAGGATACTGTAAAATCTCCAGTCAAAGGTGGCATTTGCTGGTTCTTCAAACTACTCAAAATTTCCGCTACCGGTTCTCCAGAACTGGTCAGAACCTGCTGAATACCACCTCTGGAGTGTGGAGTTTGTTCTTTGCTTATATACTATAGCTTATAGCTTGTCAGTGTAGTTTATGGTATGGTTTTCTTCTTAGTAATTTCTTGAATTAGTAATGTTTTCTGTTTAATTGGTTTTCTGATGTTAATCCCTGCCTTATCTGGGTGTTGGCTGCTGAAGAGGGTATATTCTGGTCTTTTTTTACTTCCTTCTTAGCTTTTTCATTGCCTCTTTTGAATTGTGTGTAAATGCAGTTTATCTCTGTGTACCTGTTGATAGCTTATTTGCCTTGAATGCCAAGCTTCCAGTAGTTCCCTTGTGTTTTTGGTTCAACTTGATCTATGATGCTCAGAGTTTCCCAGTTGAAACCATGGTTGAGTCTGTCCATGGGTTGTAAAATTAAGGAGCTTTTGTCATGTCTTCAGAATGTTGAAAAACTGGAAAATAAATTTATTGATCTGGGTAGAATGTTCTCTAAATATGGTAGAAACTGATAGAAAATTTTAAAATATGCAAATTCTGGTAAAAAAGCTAAGTAATATTAATGTATTGTAAATAATGAATATGTTGTGAAAGAATAAAAAACAGCCATGTAGCATTCTTCTGCCTACTATTTTACATATAAATGAAAATTGGGTATGTCAGGTGAAACATAAAAGTAAGTTGAATTCAGGGGAATAGGATTCTTAAGTTATAAGTAATAAAAGAAGAGGCAGAGGCAAGAATAAATGGGTGCTGAATAAATGTGGATTGTATATGAAATTAAATGACTGAAGTGATTGAAGTGATTTGGTCATATAGGGAGAATGAATAAGGATCAAATTGCAAAATAAATATAAGAAGGAGGTTGAGAGTAAGAAATTTATGGGTGGATGGGATAGATGAGATCTTGAAAAAGAGAAGGTTGAGAAGTCTGAAGCACAAAAGACCAGAATACAGAATATAGACAGAACGTTGCAGTGGCAATGCAATTGATTATATGCCTGTATGTGATGCTGATGCTCACCAATTAATGGGAAACAGGCAAACACTATGGTTTTAGAGCCAGTGATTACTGTTCATTTTATTGAAAGAAAAAAATTCAATATTAATACTCTTTCCTAGGGGTTTTTAATAATTCCCACTACAATTAAAATAAAGAAAGCATCAGATAGTTAAAATGATACTCCTGGTTATGAAGGAGATTTGGTTACTGCTAAAAGGTAATTGATTATGTCTATACATTGAAGGTAATGCACCAAGCAATGGATCTGAAAATAAAATAGTCCTATATTGAAGCAGCTTAATCCTATTTCTTACAGTGTCCTTCGGTAAGAAGAAGACTTCCAACTGAGTTGAAATGGCAAGTTTCTGAATGCTCAGCAAAGAAAACCTGTAGAATTTCTACTGCAGTCCAGTCTTGAGGTTGTAGTGCACGCCACATGACACAGACAGAGAAAATCAAACAGGAAAGTTCACATGTAACAGCAGCACGCCAGCCATGTCTGCCTTCCAAAACTTCTCATCATCTGCTGCAAAGACAGGTCACTAGCCCTGCCTAATGATAAGACAGCTTTACTGGCCTCTTACTTTATAGCAATGTTTCTCAATCTCAGCAGCTTGAAGATGTATGTCCTCCTGCCCATATTGTGAGTTTCTTGACAATACCATGCTACCAACTGAATTTGCTTGACTAGATGGACCCTTGGCCTGATCCTAAAGGGCTTGCTGATGTTTGGTGGAAGCATAACATAAGATAACATAACAACGTCAAAGTAGCCCAGGCAACTTCATTTTTCATTTGTAATATAAGAAGAGATGGTATAAGTACAACACAACGAGACTAGGAAGATCCTCCTACAACCATTCTCAACAACAAATTGTAGTTTCTATGAAGTTGATTGCTGTGGTTGATCTATCTAGTGAGGCTCATGTGTTGTCTGTCTGAGCAACTTCCAAATGTTATCTTGTTTCTTGGAACTTAAAAAATGTTTCAGAAACCTTTAGGTGACAATTCTTGAAAATGTCCATCATGGTCATCCCACTTACTCTGTACAGATAGTGATATGGTTCCCATCTCCAAAAAAAAGTGAAAAAAACAGCCTGACACCAATCAGCCTGACACCAATGCCTGGGAAGATTCTGGAAAAGATAATCAAACAACAAAACTGCAAACACCTAGAAGCAAGTTAAGTTATAATCAGAGGCCAACATGGGTTTGTCAAAAACAAATCATACTAAACAAATCTTATTTCATTTTTTGATAAAGTGACTAAATTAGTGGACCAGTAAAATGCTATGGATACACAGTAGTATACTTGGATTTCTGTAAGGCATTTGACAACATAGACCACAATCTACTTCTTGGTAATCTAAAAAAATGTGGGATAGACAGCATTATCACCAGATGGATTGGTAACTGGATGACAAACCACAATCAACATGTAGTCACTAGGGATGACATGATAGCAGTGTTCCAATATTTGAAGGGCTGCCACAAAGAAGCAGGGATCAGCAGGGGTGGGATTCAATTTTTTTAACAACCAGTTCTGTGGGCGTGGCTTAGTTGGTGGGTGTGGCTTGGTGGTAATGTTACTGGCTGGGCATGGCCAACTCAATATCACTCACATTGAGGCACGCATCTCCTCGCCTGGCCTCTCATGACTGTGGGGATGCTGCAACAGTCATAAGTCTGAAAAATGGTTATAAGTCACTTTTTTCAGTGCCATTGTAACTTTGAGTGGTCACTCCACACAAGCAAAGTACTAGCAAAGGAGGGAAAAAAACTTCAGAGAAGTTCCTGAGATAGGAAGTCTAGTCCTGCCAAGAATGTAATAAGGGTTAACAGAGAGGCAGTTTCTGTAAGCAACACCAGAATGTTTCCTTCCTGCCTTCCTTACAGGATTAGGCCAGTAATTTCTTCTAACAACTGGTTCTCCGAACTGCTTAGAATGTTAACAACCGGTTCTAGCGAATAGGTGTGAACCTGTAGAACCCCACCCCTGGGGATCAGTCTTTTTCCAAAGCATCAGAGGGCAAGACAAGAAACAATGGGTGGAAACTAATCAAAGAGAGAAGCAACCTAGAACCAATGAGAAATTTCATAACAGTGAGAACAATTAACCAGTGGAATGGCTTATCTTCAGAAGTTGTGGGTGCTCCACCTCTGGAGACTTTTAAGAATCGACTGGACAGCCACTTATCTGTAATGGTATAGGGTCTCCTGCTTGAGCAGGGGGTTAGACCTCCAAGGTCCCTTCCAACTCTATCATTCTGTTAAATGTATAGATTAGTGATGTGACTATATCAAATTCAAACAAGTATAGTTCAATCCTCAAGACAAGATAATTTGATACCATTTCCAGCTTATCCACTGAAGGTATCCAATAAGATATTGTGCTATTTTTTTTAAAAAAAAAACTTTATTAAATACAAAAGGTTAAAATATACAAATGTACAAAAATAAAAGGTAAAAAGTCATACACGTAGACATCACAACACTTTCTATAATAGAACTAATTATATTTTTCTCTAATACATTTGATAGTGAGTTAAATATTTCATAATAAATATTGAGTGGCAGTTATTTCCTATATCCTGTAAATTACCTGTTATTTAAACTCTATAAAACATAATAGTCTATTATTATTTTTTGAGATTAGATTATAATTATATGTTTTACATATATATTCTATCTATTACTTAGTCAAAGAACAAGGAGACCTAGAACTAACATTTGTAAATTCCTGTCATTTGGTATATATATCATAATATGTTTTGTAGATTCATTTTTCCCCTTTATTTTATACATTATTTTTTTTATCTTCTAAGCAGTCGTACCATTTATCCCAAATCAAATAAAATTCCAAATCAACCTTTCCTTTTAATTTTAATGTGAGCTTCTCCATTTCAGCGCATTCATAATTTTTTTTGAATGATAAAATGTATAGGTGGTATATTAGGCGTTTTCCAGTATTGTGCCAGTGAGATTCATGCCGCTGTTAATATGTGAATAATTAAATACTTTACTTTGAGGGAGTAACTATCTTTAATCGTACCCAGGAGGTACAATTTAGGTTCCCACTCCAATCCACCTTAGACAATTTCCTCTATCCAAGTTTTGATCCTAATCCAAAAAAATTTAACCACTGGGCATGATTTCCCTTACATTTCCAACAAATCGTGTTTACTGTTGGATACATTTTTGCCAATCTAGAGGATGCCAGATGGCATCTATATATCATTTTATATAAGTTTTCTTTATAACAGCGGTCGCCAACCAGTGGGCCGTGAGAAAATTTTGGTGGGCTGCAGAGAAATCTCACCCCCAAGCACCCCCTCCAAAGCAATTAATCCAGGCTGCGTAGAAACACATGGCTGCACCGTCCACATGGCCCGCAGGAACCCTCCCCACCCACTCACTCCTTACCCGGTAAACTTACCTGCTAAATTGCTATTCTTCCTTTTTCTGACCATCTTCTGTGTTCTGCTGTGCCAGAAGATTTAGATTAGCTAGGAAGCAGGAAATGGTTGGATTTCTTGCTTTCTAGCTAGTCTTTAGATCTTCGGCTCAACACAGCCAAACCTCCCTTAGGACTGAAGGTTTGCTTGCAAGCAAATTCAGTGCAGACTCACGGCAAGCAAATTTGAGAGACTGAGCTAGCCGATGGCAGATAGATAGATCACTGAATGATTCTGTGAACAACTCAATCTGCCTGCTTTGCCTGATTTTGGGTAAAAGTTGCTCTTTTTTAAAATAAAAAATTCAATATTTACATGCATGGTGTGTTGTGAGTTAATTTTATGGGATTGCTTGCAAGCAAATTTTATGTGACAGACTGAGCTAGCCAATGGCAGATAGATAGATCTCTGAATGAATCTGTGATTCTGTGAGCAATTCAATCTGCCTGCCTGCTTTGACTGATTTTGGAGTTGCTCTTTTTTATAAACATTCAATATTTATATAAATATTTATAATATTTACATACAAGCCATGCCCAGCCAGTCACATGACCACCAAGCCACACCCACAAATTAGGCCACACCCACAGAACCGGTTAGTGGTCCCTGGGATCTAAAATGAGTTTGGTGGTCCCTAAGGTCCAAAAGGTTGGCGACTCCTGCTTTATAAGATACTGATTTTGTTAATATAAGATTTCTCTTCCAAATTTCTTCCCAGTTGTCTAGATCTATACTGTGGCCAAAAATTTTTGCCCATGCTATCATTGGTCCTTTCATGATTTCCTCAGGTAATTCATATTCTAGTAAATAATTATATAATTTGGATATCAATTTTTTTCTGAGCCCAAGAGCATCTTATCGAGTTGGGTATTTTTTATTTCTAATCCAAATTCTTTTAAGCCCCTCTCATATCTCATTGCTATTTGAAACTATGACCAATGATCAATAATTATTTCTTGATTTTCTAAATCTTGGATCAATTTAAGTTTCCCTTCATTATCTAAAATTTGGGGATATTTAAGCTTTTTACTAATATCCATTGTGTTAGGATGGAACATTGCCTCCATTGTTGATAGCCATGTCAGGACTTTAATATAATGATTTGTCCTGATATCTGCCAAGTTTTAATCAAAGATTTATGCAGGGTATGTCTATAGAAATATGAGTGGCTTTTACTATTCGGGTTCCACAAAAAGGCATGCCACCCTAATTGTAAAACATAACCCTCTAGTGTTAAAATTCTTTTATTTTCCAGTTTAATCCAATCCTTTATCCACACTAACATCATTGCTTTATAATAGGTCTCCCAGGCAGGGAGTCCAAAGCCACCTCTGCTTTTATTGTCTTGTAGGTAAATTCTTTTAATTCTTGATTTCTTACCTGCTCGAATGGATTTCGGAATAATTTTATCCAAACTCTTTAAAAAAATATCTAATAACATAGGGATCATTTGAAATAGATATAACAATTTAGGTAGAACATTAATTTTGATTGTGGCAATTCTGCCTAATAATGAGATCTGCATTTTACTCCAATTTTCAAAAAAAAAAAAAAAAGATATTGTGCTATTTTTTTATCTCAGTGCCTTGGTTCAGTCTAGATGTGCTGGACTATGTGTTTCATCACCTCCACACATTCCAATAGTCATACTGTCTGATAATAATGAGTACTGCAGTCTGGCATACATGGAAAGGATCAGTCTGGGGAGAGACTGCTGTAACACCTAACCATTCAGGGATTCACACCCAAATGCACTCATACAAAATCTGCAATGGAAGGCATATGGATTTTGGAGGAAGTTCCAATTTTGTTCCCATCAACCATTGCTAAAATTCGGTCAATTTGCTTGAGGAAATGAAGCAGTTCTAAACTCATGTAGTTTAGTGGTTGATCAACTAAATAAAATTCTTCGGTAATCTCAGTTTTCCCTCTTAGTGCATTATAAGGCTGGCTCACACAACATATTAAATCCTAGACCAGGCTAAACAAAATGTTGTTTTCATATAACAGGCAAACCACACAATGGTTATTATGATAGCCAAGGTCACACAAGCAGACTCAAAAAAAAGTTTGGGTTCCCACTGTATGTTAAACTGCAAAATGTTCAAGGCTAGTGTAAGCACAACAGTTAATTAGATGAATTTCCCCCCATTTCGTCTCATTGTGAGAATGAGCATTAGGAGCCGCTAAAGGATTTGCAATGAAAGCAATGGGAATTGCAGTCTCAGAACCCATGCAGAAGTTCAAAAAAGGAAGAATATACACATCAAAGTGGATGATGTTTTAGTAATTAAAAGATGATACAAATAAGAAACCAGAATAGTAACTTGGATAAATTTTCCTAAATTGGATTTATAAAGGAGACCTGTGAAAGTTTTAGATGTACCTGTTAAAGACTTGGTGAGAAGGGTCAAATGTTCTGTGTCATTTGCCAGACACAAGGTGGAAAAGGCAATCCTTCAGATGGACAAGTGCCATTCAACTATTCCCTAGGTTGTAAAGACTTTACCCTTCAAAAACAAAAAGTGAGAACTCTACCCTATTTAGGCATTCAGCAATCAGTTTATTATTTTTTAAAAAAATAATGTTATTAAAGATGTTAATGAATCAAAGCTAATATAGTTTAAAGAAAAGAAAAAAAAAAGTCACTCAGTTGTTCAGTCCGGTAGTATGCTACTGGTTCGGCCCAGTTCGGCCGAACCGGTAGTAAAAATCACTACCGGTTGGGTGGAACCATAGTAAAAAAAAAAGCCTCCGATCAGCTGAGAGGAGGGGGAAAAGCCTCCAACAATTTCACTGAGAGGATAAAAGACCAAAAAGCGCATGAGAGGGTGGGAGGGTTATTCCTAGTTTTTTGTTTCTTCATCTTCTCAGCTGATTGGCTTGTTAGGTACGTGCGCACACACGATCACCCACTGAATCAGTAGCAACTAAGGTAGGATTCCACTACTGGCTCAGGACCTGGTCATTCCCCATATGGACTAATGCATTGTGTTCTACGCGGAGCTACCCTTGAATAGTATCTGAAAGCTATATTAGAATGTGGCTACAGGCACAGTCTTCGGTGTTCTGAGGATTACACATCTAACACCTCTGCTGTGTGAGCTGCATTATATGCACTGGTTTGCTTTCAGGTACAATTCAAGGTATTGGCTACCACTTTACAGCCTTTTATGGCTTGTGACCAGGTTACCTGGGGAACCATTTTGTCCAAATTATATCAACCCATCTCACCTGGTCAGTCAGGGTGTTAAAAGAGGTATGTTGCAGATGCTGTTAGTTGAAAAATGTTGACTGATGGGGTCCAGGGAAAGAACCTTTCTGCTGTTGCCCCTGCCCTATATCTTGCTCCCAGTGAGGAAGTACTAGCACCATGATAAGCAGAGAAAAAGCCTTCTGGGGCACAGCAGTTCCTGCAAATTGATTTTAATAATATTGATTTTAATTTGAGTTTCAACTGTATTGATTTTTACTGACTTTTTCATATTTTGTATTTTATTTTATTATTGTAAGCCACTAAGAGCAATCATGCAAGCTAAAAAGTGGGGTATTAATTAAAGAAACAAATCAAAATAAATAAGAATAAAAATATGGGTATGGAAGGCTCATTGTTCCTTGAGTCTAGCATTTCATTTCAGCTTCTCTCTGATATAACATAAAGAGTTTGTAATATAACTGTGGAATTAGGATCATCATTTTTTTGCCAAGCTTTATTTTATGTTTTTTTTACTATTTTTGTGCCTTATTTTTATATATGGGTCCACAAGCAGGTGGCAGCCCAGGGGTAACCCTGATCTCCCAAAAATTAAGAATGCCTCAGAGCTAATCAGGGCTAGGAAGGAAGATTACTTGGAAGCCTAAAGATGTAGGTTAAACTACAAAGTGCAAAGTAGCTGTGGGAAAACATTGCACATATGAATTGTGAGATGGAAACCAGCAGTTCTCAGGGCAGACATGGTTACTATATAAGGATGTAATAACTACACGGCTTCAGTACTATTAAGTATACATTCATTCAAGTAAGTACAATAGGAGGAAAGAAGCCATGAGTTTAAATCTCAAGTCATTTCCACATTCTCATTGGTAGTGGGAAAACAACTACCAGTGTATATTTGTGAAGCATCATTTTTTGTTTTCAGTAAAGTTCATAATTTAGGTGAGCCAGTATCAGCATCTGTGAATCTTCTGCAAGCCCAGCCAAGCAATCCAGAAAAGCAATGAACTCTCAGGAAAATTAAGCTAAGTCCTAGTCAGAGTCATTGAGTAGCCAAGACAATTCCATAGAGGTTCATGAAGTCATCAAGAATGAAGCCTAGCTTGAGAAAATCTGTATTTAATGTGATCTGTCTGTGTATGTAGGTAAATTCTCTCTCTCTCTCTCTCTCTCTCTCTCTCTCTCTCTCTCTCTCTCTCTCTCTCTCTCTCTCCCTCCCTCCCTCCCTCCCTCCCTCTCTCTTTCTCTCTCTCTCCCCCTCCCTCCATCTGTGTCTGTGTATATGTGTGTGTATTTGTAAGCACACAATGATCCTGCAGATAATAAATGTGTATCGTTACCTTTCCTTTTCCTTTCCCTAATACTTTTCAGGTCATTATGGATTAAACAAAGATGAGACCATTTTGAAGCATCTCTATAAAACAGGAACTAAAACAGAACAGCATATAGCATTGCTACCATTTTTGTGGGTATATCAAGGCCTTTTTGCACCAAGACAAATTCCTTGTGTGTCCAACTTGGCCAATAAAGAATTCTATTCTATTCTATTTTAAGTGTCTCCTAAATTCTATGTCTCCCCGTGCGTGCGTGCGCACACACACACACACGCGCGCGCGCACACACACACACACACATCTACTTAACATCCTACTTCTTTCAGTGCATTTTGTCCTGAGCTCACTGCATAATTGACTTACAACCATGATTGGGACCAGAATTTCCATTGCTAAGCAAGGTGATTGTTAAATAACTCGCACCCGATTTTACAACCTTTTTTGCAGTTGCTAAATGAATCATGCAGTCGTTAAGTGAACCCAGTTTCCCCCATTGACTTGTCTTGGCTTGTCAGAAGGCATCTGGGAAGATCACAAATGATGATCACATGACCCCTGGACACTGCAACTATTATAAATACATGCCAGTTGCCAAGTGCCTAAATTTGGATCACATGACTGCGGGTATTCTGTGAACATTGTAAGTGTGAGGACTAGTTGTAAGGCACTTATTCCAGTGTTTTGTAACTTTGAATGGTTACTGAATCCCTGAGGGCAATATATGTTACACTTTGTTCATAACAGTTGTATTCATTTTGAGATATTCCTCAAAAATCCTGCCAAATGTGTGGAATACCCCATATCTCCAGCAGGACACATTACTGGCCTCCGCACAAGGCTGCTTACAGTCCAATAGCATAGCATAAAACATTAGGTTTATATACCACCCCATAGTGATTTACAGCATTCTCTGGGTTGTTTAAAATGTAGTGGATTTTTGTTTATTGCCTCCAACAATCTGAGTCCACATTTTACCAACCTCAGAAGGATGGCAGGCTGAGTCAACCTTGAGCCCTGTCAGGCTTGAACACAAGACTGCAGGCTGAGTTTATTTATTTATTTATTTGATTTGTTAATCGCTTACAAGATAATAGGTATAAGTATAAACCTGAGTAAGAATACAGGAAATAGGTACAAATAAATGGGGACAATAGGACAGGGACGGTAGGCACGATTGTGCACATGCACGCATTCCAACAATAACACAATACTGCATTCTAACCATTGCACCACCAGGATTCCTTGGTATGATAACTCATGAAAGCATTCTCAGAAAAGATTTGAATCCTACTGTGTCTGCCATGACCGGAATGCATCCTTAGATGCATTTCCCAACTCTACACCTCCATGTTACATTTAACTCTCACATAAAAGTGACATGACCAGCAGACTTCCTCCTTTCTTTAGTGGTTTCAAAAGAGTACGTCACCTGCCCTAACCAACATTTTATTTATTTATTTTATTTGGTTTGTCAATTGCTTACAAGATAATAGGTATAAGTAAAAACACAGTTATGAATACATGGATACATATAAGCAAAATAAAAGAAACAATAGGACAGGGGTGGTAGGCACATTGGTGTGCTTATGCACACCCCCTACAGACCTCTTAGGAAAGGGGTGAGGTCAATAGTAGACAGTCTAAGGTTAAAGTTTTGGGGATTTGGAGAAGAAACCACAGAGTCAGGTAAAGTATTCCAGACATTGACCACTCTGTGATGACCCGTAGTCTCTCAAAATAACCCAAAACCCAAACATATATTAAAGTCCGGTAAAGCCTTCAACTTAACGTCACTGTTTTATTAGGCACAGTTTAAAGTCACAAAAGTAAATAATGAGGCAAACAGAAAACCAAAACAAACCGCATTGATGAGAGTTCTGAAGCAAGCCGAGATAACTAATTATAAACTCCAGGAAAATAACTGAGAAAAGTCCATGGGAAGAACGCCAGCAAAGATAAGCCTCTTTCAAGGTGAACACTTATTGACTTCAGCAATTCTAACTGCGCAGTTGCAAACTTATATACATAGCTCCCACCTGCAAGCCACAAGGAGGATCATGGTAATCTCCTCTTGAGTAGACCTTGCTTTTCCCTGATCCTCTCCTCCCTGCATGACCTAGGATGGATAGAGGATGGGCCTGGATCCTCCTCTGACTGCTCAGGCGGCCTCTGCCCTTCCCCCAGCCTCCTCCACCATCTCTGGAGCCACACTCCCAATCCCTGTTGGCTGTTCCTCCCCTTCCTCAGAGTCAGACTCCACCAGGGGCATGACACTATCCACCCCCCCACAGGGCACCCTCCCCCGGGACCAGGCGGACGAGGACATTGAGGAAACTGAGCATGAAAGTCCTGGGCCAAACAAGGAGCATGAACATCAGTGGCATCAACCCAGGTGAAGTCCTCCGGTCCATAACCTTTCCATGCCACCAAATACTGAAATTGGCCCCGCAATTGGCATGAATCTCAGATGCTATCCACTTTGTATTCCTCCTCTCCCAGAGGGGCTACTGGGGCCGGCTGTGATGGAGCCGGTCTATGTGGACTTTCGGGCGAGGCAGGGACTAACAGGGAACAATGAAAAACAGGATGGATACACATGGTCCATGGCAGGCAGAGAAGATAAGCCACAGGATTGATCACCGCCTCGACCAGAAAAGGTCCCAACTAATGGTGATCGAGCTTTTTCGATGGTCGCGTCGTTGGTAAATATTGAGTAGAGAGCCAAACCCGATCGCCGACCGCTAAAGGTGGAACATCACGATGATGTCGATTGGTAACCATTTATAGTCTTCCTTAGCTCTCTCTAGTTGATTGTGGACCATGTGGTGCACGGCTTTTAACTCCTGCAAAAACGTATCCACTGCCGGAACTGGAGAATCAGATGGGGCTAAAGGGAAAAGTCGTGGATGAAACCCATAGTTATCAAAGAAAGGGGACACACAGGTGGATGCATGTTGAGCATTGTTATAAGCGAATTCCACCACCGGCAGCACCTCCACCCAATTGTCTTGTTGAGTATTGCTGAAACAGTGGAGGTACTGCTCCAAAATAGCATTCACTCTCTCTGTCCCCCCCATCAGTTTCAGGGTGATGAGCAGACAACAGACACGCCTGAACCTGCAGTTTCGTGAGTAGGGTCTGCCAGAAGCGTGCCGTAAATTGTAACCCCCGATCTGATACCATGCGGTCTGGTAACCCATGCAACTGGAAAACATGGGAGATAAACAATTGAGCCGTTATCTTGGCTGATGGAAGACCCGCACATGGAATAAAGTGGGACATTTTAATCAACATATCCACCACCACCAAAATGGTTGTGGCACCATTCGATGGTAGTAACTCAATGATGAAATCCAATGAAACTGCCCCCCACGGTCGTTCTGGCATAGTCAAGGGCTGCAATAGACCAGGGGGCGCACCAGGAGCATACTTGGCTTGGTGACAGATCCCACAGGACACCACATATCCTGACACATCATGTTTAAGTCTCAGCCACCAAAATGTTCTAGAGATGAGGTGCAATGTTTTGAACACCCCAAAGTGTCCTGCCACCAGACTATCATGACATTGACGTGGGATAAGGCCACGAAGAGGACCTCCAGGCACATAAATACAATCACGGAACCACAACAGGCCCCCAATATATGCCCAAGGAGTCTCTTGTCTCCCATTCTCATCCAATTCTCAATGTCGAGCTGTCACAAATGGGTCCTGCTGCTGCGCCTCCTGAATCCTCACTCAAAGGTCCACAGGTTCCTCAGTGGCCACAAACTGCTCCAACGGGATCACCGTCCGGGGCAAGATTTTATTCTCCCTTCTGAGATAGAGCATCGGCGCATTGATTCCCTCCACTCAGAACATAGGTCACCCAGAACTTGAATCAAGCAAAGCATAAGGACGCTGGTTCAATATCTGAGCTGCACGTAGGTGTTCCAAATTGCCATGATCTGTCCGAACCTCGATTTAGTGACAAGCCCCCTCCAGATGGTGCCACCATGTCTCAAAAGCGACCTTAACCGCCAATAGCTCCTTGTCCCAAATCATATAGTTGTGCTTTGGAGCCAACAACTTCCAGGAATAATAAGTGCACGGGAACAAGGTGCCTGAGGGAGCATAGGCCTGGAGGAGCACAGTACCAACAGCCATATCAGAAGCATCTGTTTCCATCTGGGCCTGGATCCTCCTCTGACTGCTCAGCCAGCCTCTGCCCTTCCCCAGCCTCCTCCACTACCTCTGGAGCCACACTCCCATTCCCTGTTGGCTGTTCCTCCTCTTCCTCAGAGTCAGACTCCACCAGGGGCATGACACACTCTGTTGCTGAAGTCATATTTCCTGCAATCAAGTTTGGTGCGATTAACCTTGAGTTGGTATCTATTGTTTGTTCTTGTATTGTTATGGTTGAAGGTGTAGTATTCATTGACAGGTAGGACATTGCAATGTATGATTTTATATACTATACTTAAGATCGGACCAAAGGTGGCATAGTTCTAGGTTTTCTAAGTCTAGAATTTCAAGTCTGGTGGCATAAGGTATTCTGCAACGAGTAGAGGAGTGGAGAACTCTTCTTGTGAAATATTTCTGGACTTTCTCAACTGTGTTAATGTCAGATATTACAATGTGGGTGCAAGACTGATGAGCTGTATTCGAGTATTGGTCTAGCAAATGTTTTGTATGCTCTAGTTATTAGTGTGGTATTACCAGAGAAAAAGCTACGTAAGATTAGGCTAACAACTCTTAATGCCTTTTTGGCTATGTAGTTACAGTGGGCTCTAGCATTTAGATCATTAGAGATGAGTAGTCCAAGATCCTTGACAGAGTTTGGATCATCAACAAGGTCTTGACTATTCAGCCTGTATTTTATTTTCTGATTTATTTATTTTTTGCCAATATGTAAGACAGAGCATTTATTTGTTGAGATTTGAAGTTGCCATTTGTTTGACCATTCTGATACATAGTTGAAGTCTTTTTGAAGGGTAGCAGTATTGTCTGTGGTGTTGAATAGCTTTACATCGTCAGCGAAGAGAACGCAGTTGCTCTTAATATGATCACAGAAGTCATTTATATAGAGTATGAAGAGAGTTGGTCCTAGAACACTGCCTTGGGGGACACCACTGTTGACAGGTACAGAATTTGATAGGACGCTCCCAATTTTGACCATTTGTTGTCTGTTTGACAGGAATGCTTCTATCCAGTTATGCAGGTGTCCAGAGATACCATAAGATTTTAGTTTTAGGAGTGGTTTGTTTTGTACCACTGAATCAAATGCTTTACAGAAGTCTATGTAGATTGCATCTATTGCTTTTCCCTGATCGAGTTGTGTACTCCATATGTTTTTGCAGTGTAAGAGTTGCAGATTACAGGATAGTTTTTTCCTGAAACCAAATTGTTTATTAGAGAGTAGGTTGTTTGTCTCTAAGTGGAGGGTGATGGATTGGTTAATAATTGATTCCATGACTTTACAGGTGACGCAGCATAAAGAGATTGGTCTGTAATTTTCAGCGAGGCTGGGGACTCCCTTTTTGAAGATGGGGATGACCATGGCTTGTGACCATAGTTTTGGCAAGGAGCTGGTCATGAAAGATTTTTCAAAGATTATGCTTAGAAGTTTGGCTATGGCAGTGGATAGCTTTTTTAAGAAGTAGACACATATTCCATCCGGTCCAATAGATAGAAATGGTTTTAGATTGCGTAGTCTTTTTCAAACATTGTCTACTGTAAAATCAATATGTATTAGATCATTGTAGTTGTCTGTGGTTTGATTAGGAAATACTGGGCATGATCCATTGCTGTTTACAAATACTGAGCCAAAGAATGTGTTAAAGATGTTGGCTTTAATAGTGTCATCGTTGCAGTCTTTACCATTAGGTCCTATCAGGGGTGAGATGGACCTTGAGTCTTTTAGTTTGTTTACAAAATTGTAGAAAGTGCAGGTGGAAATGGTGCATAGAAGGTTTTCCTCTGGTTTAATGTGATAATTGGTGCATTCAGTCTTTATCTGGTGGCATAAATTTTTGCATCGGCTTTTGAAGTTGGCAACGTGACCAGATTTGTTTTTCCACCAAAGTGATCTCTTTTTGGATTGAAGCTTCCTTATTGTTATGGGTAATCTGTTTTTTCTGGTTTTTGGAGTTGTTATTGGTACATATAGTTTGATTACTCTTTTGACTTCAAGTAAAAATATGTTGTAATGGTCTTCAACAGTATTGCATCCAGTGAATAGAAATTGCCAATCAAGGGATGAAAGATCATTGTCTATAAGATCGTAGTTGCCTTTTTTGAAGTTATAATTGGGGATCACATCATTGTGTTGATTTTTGTGTGGACATATGTTGAAACAAAATTCAATCATGCTGTGGTCATTGTTGAAAAAGAGTTCTTTAATTTGTATTCCATAAATTGAATTCAAACTATTGCAGAAGATGAGATCGAGGCAGTTGTTTAATCTAGTATTGTTGGTTACTAGTTGTTCCAGTCCCAGGTTTGTTACAGCATTCTAGAAGGTTGCATGTATGGGTTCAGTTTTACATTCATTTAGAATCCAGTTAATGTGAGGTAGATTGAAGTCACCAAGAAAGATAAAAGTGTGTGGGCAGGATGTTGCCCATGTTAGTAGTGAATTTAGCTTGTTTACATGTTCAATGTCATAATCAGTGGCTCTGTAACATAGTAAGAATCGAAATGTGATATTTAAAGACAGTTCACAGATGATGGTCTCAGGAAGAGCAAGCTCTTGGGTAACTTGGATGTTTTTTAGGTGTAAGGACTTTTCATACAAGATAGCAACACCACCTCCTCTACGGATTTCACAATCTGATCGGTAAACATGATAGTGTCTTACTGTGGTAATGGAGTCAGGGAGAGATGCATTGAGCCATGTTTCACAGAATAATATGATGTCGAATTTAGCCATATTTAGTAAGAGGAGAAATTCAGGTATTTTATTCACAAGGCTTCTTGCATTGAGTAGCTTGCATTTAAGTCCAGTTGTAGTTGGAACTGAGGTAGTTAGGGGTGTGCGTGCTAGTTTTGAGTGATGGTAGGTTGGATGAGGTAGGGTTGGATGTGGAGTTATGGGTTGTGTGACTTACTTTTTATACAATCAGCGTGGTAGTCAATATAGAGATCCTTCTCTTCATTGTCTAGACGTCTTTTGAGTTCCTTGCAGAGTTCACGGGAGCAGATTCTTTTGGACATAGTTTCCTTTTTCTCTAATACTGAAAGGTGGCATCAGAAGAATCCCTTCAGTGAAATAAAACATTAAGGGTAAAAGATATAATTGAGTTATAATATCTTGAATATAATTTATGAATCACATAAATTTCAGAGAGGTGGGGCTCTGTGAGAATTTTCTGGTCCTTCAGTTTAGCCAAGGACTACATCAAGGGTCTTCAAACTTGGCAAGTTTAAGACTTGTGGACTTCAACTCCCAGAATTCCTGAGATAACATGACTGGAGGAGGAATTCTGGGAGTTGAAGTCCACAAGTCTTAAAGCTTTCAAGTTTGAAGACCCCTGGCTAGAGAATAGTAGGAGGGGACACCACAGGTAATCAATAGGTAGCTGATCTATGCACAATATATGAACATATGTTTTCTCCATGCTCTCCTCAGCTGAAGATTTCAATGCTGAGCCAGGTGCAGAACTACGGTACACTGTGCATTCTTTGAAATGCATAGCATATCTTCCCTGAAAATGTATCTAATCCTCTCCATCCCCCAACTCTCCAAATATTGTGTCTTATTTTGTTGCTGAGTTGTCCATGAAATTGCCATGACTACAAATCAAGTCTGCTGCATGTGCAGTGACCCTAATTAGGATTCAAAAGTGAACCAATTTGCATATGCAGCTGCTAGCACAAATTAGCCCATAATAACATAGCTAGCAGTCTCTCTAAGTATCAGCTTTAGTTTGATGCATACTGGGGTGATGCATTTAGTTCTATGAAATGCAGATTTAAGAAGGACCAAGATGGGATTCTCAATCCACAATGTTTAACCACTCTTTTTAAATAACTAATTGCAGCTAGTAATGATGCTAAAAATGGGCCACAAGGACATTTTCCCAGGAACCAAGGCAATTCCAATAGGAGTTAAGCTCTTTTGCCATGGTCCTTCCTCCTGCTCCTTATCAGTTAAAGCTGAAGACTGGGGAAGCACTTCTTGGTTGCTTGGTAACCACTCATCTTGTTTTCCTACTGCTTTCAGGAGAGGTTCAGATAAATGTCAAGATAGCTGCTATGTGAGATTGAAAACATTCTCATCAAACATTAGCTCAACCGGGGGCTGCTGTGAGGACGAAAGATGCTCTTCATTTATTAAAAACTTGCAAGAGACAAGCTTATCAGCCACAGATTTGGCAATTGTGAGAAGTCCTATATACATATTGACACAAGGGTGGATCATTAACATTCCATCCCTCACATGAGCTCTATTTATGTGTGGTGATACAGGCACAGGCCCCCTCTTTGTGGTCATATGGTAGAAGGATTGGCCAAAATTATTTTCTGATGTGATCACTTGAAGATTCAAGGGCACACAAACATTAACGTCCATGTGAAATGAATACCTATGGGAGGGAGGAATAGGATTTTGTTGCTCATACCTGCTGGTTCTGCCTCCATTCTCTGCGTTCATGCATGCTACAAGAAAGATGTTGTGGTTCTCTGGCAGTCAGTGCAGATGGCAGAGATATCGGACAGTGAGGACGAAAGGGAACCAGTCAGGGAGTCTGGAGAGGACTTGGATGAGGGTCCTGCATCTGATGCAGGGATGGGGCCAGGACCACCTAAAAGTGGGGTGCTGCCTTCGGAGCCTTTGGAGTCTGGCAGCAGAGAAGCAGAGGACCTCGGGGAGCCTGTTCCCAGTGTGCATGTGTGCAGAGCTTCTAAAAGGCAAGAGCAGCTGAAACAGAAAGGGTGACTTAGGAGTAAGGCTGAGAGGTGATTGCACCTCCTATAAGGGATAAAAGTCAGACCTCAATGAGGAAAAGCTTTGCAGGAAGCAAAGCAGTTCAGTAATTTCCGAGTCCTTCATGAAGCTCTGTACTCTGGTCAGTTTTTTCTGGGTTTTTGGGTTGGTTTATGTTAGCCTTAATTGGTCTTCTGTTTTTTGGCAGCATTCTACAGCACTGAAAAGCGTGCTCTTTATCTGGAGGAACTGTGTATAATTGGTTTTGGCTGGGAATACAAGTAATTCCCAGCGTCACATTAAAATAGGGTTTACTTTTAAATTCAGCCTGTGTTTTATTAAGTTTGATAAAGCCTGGGTCAGAACAAAAGATCATCCACACAAATTATATGTGAACAGGATCTGAACTTCCAAAAATGGTCACATATACTCAAATCCCCTGAACATCCCATTTGGGTTCATACAGAGAGTAGGCAGAAGCCATGTACACATTATATTCCTCCCGAAAAATGTCCATCAGCACAGCATTTCAATCACAACAGCTATCATTTCTTCTTTGATACCACAACTATATAGTCCTGAATCATAAGGTATATTGAGATGGAAGTGCCAGTTTGGCTGTGCAACTAGTTTTATCCACTCCATCACTATCTTCCTCAACTCTGAATGGGTTGCTGAATGAACATGTACAGCATTGAGCTTGTTCTTTCTTCTCTTCTAATAGAGCATAGTGGAAGAAAAGGATTCTATAGAAGGCAGAGAGTCTATATCAACAGCATAGCTTCCCCTTTGCAAAGATTTTGGGATTTGGATAAAGATGACGATGGAGAAGGTGGAACCCTAACATTCATTCCTGCTCTGTTTTCTAAAATTCTAATCATGGGGGAATCAGAAGGAGCAAATGAGATTTATGTCTTTCCTACAGACAACTCTGTGTCATTTCTTTGCCCAGTGGTAGAAAATAATTTAGCTTGGTCTGAATAAGCTGATTCTTGCTATAGGAGTATTCTTTGATGACTACATGCCAAAGCAACAGCGAGGTACCTACGTGTTATTTTGCACTGTGCATGTGCTATGATATCAATGTGCTTTGCCTAAATGAAAAACAAATACAATTACATTTGCAACACCATGATCAATACTTCCTGCATGGAGTTTAAGGCCATAGAAAGAAAACATGTGAAATGGAGACAAAAACCAAAATAATGATTCATGTAGTCCATGCTCCAGCCTGACCTGGCAGCTTCTTACATGACTGCCTGTGCAATTCGCTAGGAAACCAGAACCATGGAAAACAGTCCTAGAAAAATGTCACATAGTCTCTTACTCTTACTGCACATCCATCTTATTCTGCCAAACCAATAGATACTGTGTTCTCCTTGTTCCAATAATCTGAACAACCGTAAAGAAAAGAAATTGTCTTTCCTATAAAACTTTGAAATGCCCAAGATTTACATTTTTTTCAATTCAAAAAGAAAGCAAGTTTGTATAATAGTTCCATTTATTCATCTCCATCATGAAAATCTGATTTCAGTATGCTGCTTTGACCTTGCTTGATACAACAATTCCTTTTAGTATAAACTCCACTTCCCCTAGTTGTCTTGCAAAGGAACCGAAGTGTGATGCAGAGTTTGTTTTCAGTCCAGTAAACTAAACTCTTGCAAAACTGACATGAAGTGTTCAAGGAAATCATACTGAAAGAAAATGATCCAGAAAAGGTCCTGTGGAAGACTAATTTTGTTAGTCATTACTCTCCTTTGTTAGTCAAATTCCAGCATGTTATTCAGTTCCAACTAGATCAATGGTCCCCAACCTTTCCAGCTTGGTGGCTCTGCCTAGTGGGTGTGGGTGTGGGTGTATGAGTAGCAGGTGACTGGACTCATGCACAACTCCATTTGTGTGAGCGGCAGGCATGCGTACCCTCCACTCACAAGTATGGAGCTTTGCGCTCATACACGCTTGCCCATCTCTCCCATGGCCCGGTTTCAAACAAGCCGCAGCCCAGAAGTGCCGCAGCCCAGGGATTGAGATCCCCTGAGCTAGATCATAGGTCCATTCATTTTTGCTGATATTGATTACTTCAGTTAGCTATTGGTGAAGCAACCAAAGAGGCTCACCACTCACCCTGACCCAGCATCGAAACTTGCTAAAAAGCTGGTGGCTCAGGAACCTCTGCAACACAAGGCTTTCTGCATCCACTCCAGGGGTGGGATATGACAGGGTTAACTACCGGTTCGGGATTTACGAGCTTCCCTGCACGCCGTGAGCCACGCGCCTGTAAATCGTCATCAGCATGCTGTGCGCAGAGACGCAGCCTTTGAAACAGCGCTCTTTTCCTGCTTTTTTTAACTGCAGCTGTGCCTTGTTCGGCAGCTTAAGTTGAAAAATCAGGAAATAAAGATCATGTAAGAGCCCAGGTGGGTGGGTGGGCAAAAACATCAGCAGACATAGAACCAGTTCTATGTCTGCTGCTCTTCAGAGCTACCGGTTCTACAGAGGTGGACAGAACCGGTAGAAATCCACCCCTGATCCACTCCCTTTTCACATAGAGAATTTGCTTATACTGCACTCTAACCACTGCGCCACCGCGGCTCTTGCGCATGGTTTGTCCTTCACTAGGGAAACTGAGTCTGTGACATCACCCACTTTTCCATCCTTGCTTTGCAAACAGCAGCAGGTGAGATCACTGTGGAAGAAAAGCAATTTGGCTTTACCCTTTGTTTACTTTGCAGTTGCAGCAGATTGTAGTTTGGTAGGGGCTGATAGCAGGTGCTGCCTCATTTGCCGACAACCAGGCAACTCCAAGCTGCCTATTTTGCAAACTAACAAAATAGTGTGGGTGTGATGTCAACATAGTATTCCTGAGAAAAGTAGTTAGAACACTGCTATTGCAAATCGAATTTCAAACCTCCATTTATATCTCCTGTAAATCAGGAGGCAAGTAAATCCCTGCAGCAGCCTAAACACCCATTTCAGCTGTTAGAGTTCTTAACATCTTGCACGATGGCATTTCTGGTTAAAAATGGTACTTTGCAGGAAATAAATATTGGATTATTTATTATGCAAGATACCTTTCATTCCCCTTTCTTGCTTCTGATGTCAGGGAAATGAGGTCAGGAAGAACGAGGAATATTATAGATGAATATTAATCTTTTCTCTTCAGTAAATACATGCATTTATTTATACGGGTGATTTGCTAGTTCTGTTTGGATACACACACATTTAGCTGTAGTGCTTATCCTGAAAAATGCCATCAAATTAGCTCTTTTCAAAGTTGCCAATATTATTGGCAAGGAACACATTTTCTTTCTCTCTTCTAAATGCGTTCTGCACTTCTTTCTTAGCAAAAGGGAAAAGGGGAGGGAGACCCCAGTTTTTCTTCCAAAGGCAAGAGAAGATGGGGATGAGCTGGTGTCAGTCACACATTTTTAAAAAGCCCAACAGTCTTCTTGATCCAACGGTGACAGATTAGGGAAGGAGATAAAAAAAAAGATGAAACAAAAGCCTCAAATGTCTGCTTCACTAGGTTCAAGGCAGATTCGTTCTCTCTTTTTCTCTTTGTTTTAGTTCCGTGCTCTGCTTCTTTAATTCCCGCTGGCTCAAATGCCAATTTTCTGCTATGCTGGCATAGCTGCCGAAATATTGCTTCTGTTAATAAACTGCACAAAATAGCTGAGCAATTAGGCAATTAAACTGCTTTAAATTTAATTTAAACTGCTGGCATTTTGCTAGAAGGATTTTTAAAAAATCCTTTCTGCTTTGTTGTTGTTGTTGTTGTTGTTAGGGGGTGGGTTGGGGGGTGCAGTGCGGGAAGAGGCAGCACAGGGGTGGCAGAAATCTATCTCTCTCCCTCCATCCCACCCCACCCCGGTAGAGATTCATTTGCTTTTGCATTCTAAGCTGGCTGAAGGGCTGCTTGCTCTGGTAAGCACATTTTCTTGTGCTCACCTTATTAGAGAAAGTCATTTTTCCTGAACATTTAACACGCAAACAAGCTTAATCTGATTTCTGCCAAGCTCCCAGATGGGTAACAGAAGCAATAAGCAAATCGTTTTGGAGCAGAGTTGCCTGTTGGCTTGCCACAAGTAATCCAAATTAAAATAGCAGTGAATAAAATAATGCAGATCAGAAAAAGTGACAGATATTGGTAGATGGGTGCATGTACTAGTGTGTATGTGTGCGAGAGAGAATGCTAGGACTCAAATGAAATGAAAACAGCAGACTGATTTCTAAATCTGTTACCCACAAGCACACAAAAGTAGCAAGGAAAGGTGCTCTTTATTCATAGGACAATTATTTCTGTCATTTATTCAATTGGAGGCCGTTGCTAATGAAAGGAGATAGTATTTTTCACTAAATCTTCCTGCATAAAATCTCCCCAACCAATCCCATCTCTGTTTCAGGGGAACCTTCAATCTCCTCCCCTTAGAACGGAAAACTACCACTGAAAGGCACAAAGCTAGGAAAAATAGAAGGAACTTGCCCTTCCTGAGAACATTTTGTCCACAAGGACAACTCACTTCAACTCATGAGCCAAACCAAAGAAGCTGCTCCATCACTGGAGGTTTTTAAGAAAAGTCTGTCTGAAACGGTATAGGGTCTCCTGCTGAAGAAGAAGGATGGACTAGAAGATCTCCAAGATCCCTTCCAGCTCTATTCTGATTGATTGACCAAGCAGTTGCCCTAATCAGCTCTTTCCCCCCCCCCCAAAAAAAAAGGAGGGAAGATTTTTTTTATGCTGGTTTAAGAAGGAAGAGGAAGCCCATTGCCACTATCATGGTGATTATCTCATTATCTCTTTATTTTCTCCACCCACATCATGCCTGCAGGATGGGAATATGCCATGGCAAGGTGGCAATTAGATAACTCAATCCATTGCACAGTTAGGAAATTCTCTTCTTCAGAGTGTTTGCCCTGAAAGTATAGGCAGAAAAGATCTTCCTTTGCCCTCAGTGTTACTATTGAATCCATTATATATTCCAGATTGAAGAGGAACATTAAGCCATTTGTGGTTAGGCTGAAAAATAGATCAGTTCAGGAAACAAATTCTATAGGAAGACTAATACA